CTGCCATAGTCGTATAAATAATCAAACAAATATCAAAGCTAAAATTTGCACACGTTCAATGTAGAATGATATAACGGAATATATTGTATAGCTAACTTTTGATAAAGCGACTCTCAATGAAAATAATTCAAGGTTCACCAAGTTCACCGATGTTTTCAAATTCTATATATATATATCTGTATACTTGTGTTTGGTCTGTGCATTTAAAAAAAGTGTGAGGCTTCAATTTTTGGGCGATTTTGTCTGTGCTATCTAACAGAGCATATTGAAGTACCTAGTACAGTATATCAACCTACATGTATATTCCTTTTTACAACATTTATTATTCTTTAACTGTGGTAAGGGAAGTCATTGGTAAGGTTAGATGTAGAACCTAGCTGTGCAATATTAATGGAATGTTCTCAAAATTCTAATATTCAAGGAATCTAAACTCTTTTAGCGGCAAGAAGAAATTGGAAACGGATCCATTTAAGATACCACAGCTAGTGTTCTTTTTTTTTTAGAACATCGTTTCCTTAGTATAAAAAAGGATTATAATAGTAGCAGGCTTACACTGTATCATCCAATTATCACACGAAAAATTATAGTCATGTGGCACTGTGCAGTATAAATTCTACTATCTGAAACATTTCACATTAAAGACCCCAATCTCTCTCTCTCTCTCGCTCTCTCTCTCTCTCTCGCAAGCATTAGGCCTATTATCTTGACAAATCGGCCAAGCACGCCGACGACCTTTCCGCGCAGGCAAATTATGAGCTTATCCGTAATGCTTGGCAGGTCCTGACATTTCTCATTGTTTATGTTTTTCCATGTTGTTCGCGTTTGCAACTTAAAATTAGAAAAAAAAAATGATCAAAATGCGACCCGCGGTGTCCAGTTCTCTGAGTCATTAAGACTTGATATCTCATTGGGGTCTCTTTCTGTAATCTGGTCTTGTCCTTAGAGAGGTTTCACTGGGAGAAACTATTAAACAACCCAGCGAAACCGAAATGTTTGTTCTGGAAGTAGATCAAAAGTTGTAGGTCCCCGATTACAGTGTATGTAACGAGGATGCTACAGTAAGTTGCACGGCTATAACAGTTATTTTTCAAATGATTCGGTCATAGGTTATTCTGATCAGTTGCCCTTGCAAACATGCTGCTACTTTCAAACTGGTAGTGAAATCAGTTATATTTAGACCATGCTTAGGTAAAAATAATGTGAGGAGCTCTTTATAATCTATCTGAATAAATTGGTAAGGTACATCACGTATTCTACGTACCATTCACTTCTCCGATTTGTACAGCGTTCAGAACCTTCTTTGCGTAACCTTTAATTAAAACATCTTAAAATCTGATGGTGTTATTTCATTGCTTAAACGCTGAAGCAGCCCCAAGAACGTAATACTAGCTAGTTATCTAAACACACACTATATATGTGATTTTTTAAGTAATACAAAGTTGTATCCGCGGATACCTCTGTCATTTTCAGATAGTATTATCATCCAAGTATTAAATGGTGTTTATTGCATTTTCTAATGGAATTCGTCATGGTATCCTTTTGAAATTGGACAGTTCTACACGTACGACAATGAAGTGGCTTTGCCTTGCATTTGAATAAAAGTATCTAAGTTTTGATAGCCAGATCCCGTTATCAAGTTGTTTGGTCATTATGAATAGGCAAGGTGCCTTTGTTGATAATAAATCATTTTAAGTAAAAGTTCAACAAATTCATCGAAAGTTGCTTTTGTCCTTTGAGGTGTTTATTGCTCTCATATATTACTGTATATCTAATTCTGGAATAATTATGGGCAATAACGCCACGTTTCTCGGGATATGCTTTCACGGCGCGTGGTAACATCTGAGAACCGCGCGTGCTTTCTCCCGCCAACATAGTACAAATCACTTTCTCTCACCCAATAAAGATTAACACATAAGTAGAAATACCGTTTCAGAGCCGCCCGATATCTTGTGTTTACAGTGTGTAGATGAAAAGAATGTAAAAATAATGGCAATTTTTAAGTGCACGTCGTCGTAAATGTTCGTTTTGGGATAAGGCAAGTGTCTGACTACGAACAGAACACAGTTCACTTTCTCTGGCCAGACCAAGATAATCTATGTACAATATTTATGATTTTAGTACATAATACTTTACATTTAAAACTTCTTTCAGGAATGCGGGGTAATCTTAATAGAGGTCAATAGCATGTGGTGAATCTATGCGTACTATTGCCTCCCAATGCCATTGTCTCAATCAAAGTTCTTAAAATTACCGATATCATTTTCAAACTTCATATCATCACCGTCAGAATCACGTTCACTCTGATTCGCAGATCATTGCCGCCTCAAGTCAAAGAATGGGCGCTCAGATTGATAAAACAATTATTTCACAATATTTTCCTTGGAGGCCGTTATGGAATTTCACGTAAATCTTATCTCAGCTAGCTGTTAAGCATTGCTAGGTAGAATCCACTGCGAACGCCTGGAGACAGATTAGACGTACTTGTACTGAGGCTGTTGAAAAGCCACTACTTAACAAACTATGGCACTATCAGAACGTTATCAAAGATCCCGTTCACACTGTACTCAAGCAGACCCCATTCCCATAGACACCATTTGTCCACATAGATTGATCCAACTGTGAGGGGACTCTCGCTGAGTGCAATCAGTTGAAAAAAATGACACGCCTCCTGGATTTGACTAGAATACAGAAAGGCTGGTGTTAACACGAGTACGTTGGAGACAAAACGAGGCGTGGCAATCAGTTAAGTGGTTTTTTACTCAGCGAAAGTCCCTGCAGAGCTGGATCGACACGTTGACCGATGGTGTCTATGGGAATGGGACCGTAAATCAATTTCAATCATGTGGGTTCTGCGGATTGTAATCAAGCCCGTGAATACATCACACTGTATTAACGTTTATTCAATGTTGAAAATGGAGACCAGTTTTAGGCAGGTTTTTTAAGCGTTCCACTTGGTTTTTTGGAATTAGCTAGTCACCATCCAAGCAGAAAATTTCTTCCAATCGCGTGCACAATATGCATTTAGCTGGAGTCATTGGCTTTGAGGTTTGAGGTATAGCGCCATAAGGATCGATTCCGTTGTAGAGTAAAGCATTTATTGCGGAAGCAGCCGATGTTGGACGAACGGAACCAGACCATAAGAAGCCGACAATCCGAACCCTGAGTCACTAAACGGCCCTTGTTGAAGCGGAAGGACTGCAGCTGGACCGATTACTATCCGCTCTATTTGATTCACGCGTGAACGTTTCCCGTTCTTACGTCACCACTTACTGGTATTTAAGAGCTGTAAAATGCTGGAAACATAGGAAGAGTGACTTTAGAAGGGGAAGAAGTGATTGGACCTTAACTACGTTGTTAATCCAGAAGGCTGAATAACAGAGGGGGAATTTAGTAAATATTCGTGCTTAGATAAAAAGGTACCGAGTGTTTATACGTTTTGGATATTTTTAATGTATGTGGCAGAGAAAAAAGTGTTAAAAAAGACCTGCAGTGCGCAAAATGTTTGTAGGTGATATTGCTCCATAGGAATTTATTAAAACTGTATGCAGAAAAGTTGAGTGAAAAAGAGAAATACGAAATATTTTACCTAGGTACATGTAGAATCCATGTCTTTTTCTTTCTTTCTTTTTTTTTTGACTTACGATTTTTTATTTAATTTCAGATAATGTGTTTTTCCTACATTGCATTCAAAATTGAATATTGGAGTCTGATGTCCTTGTCAGTTAATTGATTATACTGTACATTTTGAAAACACGGTCCTTTTACTGATTGCGATGCACTAACTGTGTTAAAACTAATTGCATTGATTGAAATATACGTATTGGTACTGACGCGTAGTTTTGTTTGGTTATAATGAGCTTAAAATGAATAAGACTGCGTTGCGTACTTGTGCAAGATATGAATCTGATTAATAAATATGGCGCGTTCGAAAGAGTAGTAACACAATGTTTTTTTTGTGTAAAACGTAAGCGGGATTGCTTGATTGCCACTCACATATAAGTACCGGTAATGCCTCTGTAATATCTCTGAGAATCACTATACAAAGGACGGTAGGCGGAAAGTCAGAAAAATAACGCAGTTGGAGGTGTATGTCAATTAAGTTATCTTAAAATACGTCCTCAACGTGGTCAAAGACAACGTTTCTTTACCAGCGTACGATTGTATCCAATAGGCTACGAAGCTTTGAAGAAGATTTCTGTGTTTGATCATTGATTCTTCCTTTTATGTCTTAATCAAATCTTATTTGGCGACTTTGAAAGCTGTCTGGGGCTGCTGAGCTTGGTGGCTAGTTATAATGAGGATAAAAGGTAGGCCTAATTGACAGGTGATCGATGCCTGTCAAAGAAATGCAAACTGCGTCTGCGACTGCGTCGTCATGAATCAACAAAGATAATTAAGTTATCTTAAAATACGTCCTCAACGTGGTCAAAGACAACGTTTCTTTACCAGCGTACGATTGTATCCAATAGGCTACGAAGCTTTGAAGAAGATTTCTGTGTTTGATCATTGATTCTTCCTTTTATGTCTTAATCAAATCTTATTTGGCGACTTTGAAAGCTGTCTGGGGCTGCTGAGCTTGGTGGCTAGTTATAATGAGGATAAAAGGTAGGCCTAATTGACAAGTGATCGATGCCAGTCAGAGAAATGCAAACTGTTTCAATTCATTGATGTGACTGCATCATGAACCATTTAATAAGAAGATTTTAAAGTTCAAAAGGGAGCGTTTTATTTAGAGAATTCAAATTGGAGGGATATTAGGTTGTCACTACAATTGAACGCGGCGTGTAGCAAGAAAATGGAATTGTTGCAGTATAAAAGCACGTGTCTGGTCACACTCTTTTTGCCTTAGAAATTAAAGAACTGAAAACAGAGAATGAAAAACATTCTAAAAACTAGCGGTGCAAATCTTGACGAAATGTGTCCTTGTTTTCCATCTTCAAGAGACTAAGTTCTGCCTGAGACCAAAGTGGATTATAAAAATAATGATAAAGGCGATTGTGAAATATATTCAATTGTAAGCAGATTCTTGATACAGTGATGCATAGATGTTTCATAGGGAATAATGGCAGCCACTTAGGTAAATGTAGCTTTGAGAGTATAACAGCTTTGAGACTATAACAGTTGTCAATAGACACATAAAATGACATTCTGAAAGAAATTTCACAATGTTAGCTGTATATAGATATAAACTTTGGAGATATAAAATGTACTGAACAGTGATTAAACGCGGTGTTTCGTTCGTTTTATTCTCTCTGTGTACTAGTAGTAATATAGTAGGCCTAGCCTATGGAATGTTCTGATGCGGGATGTTTTATGGTCCGACCTTAACAACGAGAAATATAACTGTGCATCAATTTGTGTCATTGCATCGCTAGGTAGGCCTGTATGTATCAATTGTTGGTACCTAGTTTCCCCAACTGGTACAACTGCAAAACAAACTAACGCCACGTTTACACATAATTGTGGACCAAAAGAAGTCAAAAGAATGAAACCATTTGGCATTACAAGTACAACAAGAGCAACGGAATCTCCCTGACGCTCCGCCCATCGCACTACAGCTCTGCCAATCAAAACACGGATTTCAAAAGATGTGATATCAAGCGACGCATTTTAGTCTAATCACGGTGCATTTTAGAACCAGGCATGAACACGGCTTTTATGTAGTTGTCTACTTTATTCGCGCGAAGACCGTGAAATGACAATGTAATCACACGTGGCATGAAAGGAAGTATGGAGTTGAAATGGAAATTAGAAAAGAAGACAAGGAGCTGTCACAAGTCAGAGAAATCCGTATAGCGTCAGGTAAAGATGACCTTTATAGCTTCTATGGTGATAGTGTGAGGATAATGAGAAAAAGAAATCCTGCTTAATTTTGTTAAAAAAGGTTTATTATGACTGTCTTCTGATGACTTTTAAGACAGATGAACAGTTTTATTTTTGCTCACTGGCGTTTGTAGGGATTTGCTAAGTAGAGTGGCACAAAGATAATAAAGTGCTATCTTTCAAATATACATGTATAAGTACGGTCGAGAACAATAAATGATATTCAGGAAACATACTGCCTTTGACTCGATCGTCTCTATCCGGTAATACCTTTCAGGGATTGATGGAGGGTTGAGAGGAGATAGGGGTAAATGGGGTTCCACCGAAAATAATTTGTATGCTTTGGCCAGTTTCACTTCTGATCTCTCAGATCTCCTCTCAATCGATCAAATGGATATTTTTTTCAGACTGGCTTTAACTTCAAAGACGGACATGTCTGTATTTGGTATTTATTGTGCAAGTTTTTGAAAAATTCTGAGATGGAAATTTTCATTTATCGTTCACGGTTATCGGCTGCCCTCAGAGTCATCGCACTACAGGTCCCACTATTGGTAATATCTGCAAGCCGGTGACGTTCAATCAAGTGAATTTCGATGTGTGTTGTGGATGTTGACGACCATGTTTATATTGATTTAGAAGGAGAGCTAAAGATGTCTTGTGTACGCACTTTGTATTGACAGGCCATAGCTGCGAGGTGAACATGGATGTAATATCACACAGTTTTCTTTTCTTAATCGACGCTACCGGTATGTCCCGGACAATGGTGAAAATTGCTGTTAATTAAGGGTGGACTTGAATTGGATTATTGACCGGACCTGAAGAATTAACAGTAACGCTTATAATTTTCAGCTTGCTGTGGGACATTTGGCGTAGAAAGAAACTTCCGAATTCAAAGTCGCACTTGGGATACTTCAACAATGTGGAGGCCGGGGTCATGATTGCTGCCTTACGGATGATACTGGTTTCTATACTTCTGCTGAAGGTCAGTGAAAGTCTCTCTCTCTCTCTCTCTCTCTCTCTCTCTCTCTCTCTCTCTCTCTCTCTCTCTCTCTCTATATATATATAT